TTGGGCATCTGCCTTCAGCTCAGGTCATGATCCCAGGGACCCAGGATGGAACCTGATATCAGGTTCCCTGTCTACTTCTCCCTCTGCTCGTGCTCTCTCTCGAATAAGTAAAGTCTTTGGGACTAAAATCTACCATTATTTTCAGAGATAACCAAATCAAGACTAATTTGTCCAAAAAACAAGTACAATTTTAATAAACTTGGCCTAATTATTTGCACAGGCTCAGCAAGAACAGTGATTGCCTGTATAGATCTTTTATTTTATTTTTATTTTATTTTAATTTTATTTTTATTTGATTTTATTTTATTTGTATAGATCTTTTAGAATCTCCTTTGCCGGAACTTTTTATGAGGAATCTTTTTTTTTTTTAACGATTTATTTATTCATTCATGAAGAGAGAGCGAAGAGAGAGGCAGAGACACAGGCAGAGGGAGAAGCAGGCTCCATGCAGGAAGCCCGACGTGGGACTCGATCCCGGGTCTCCTGGATCACATCCCAGGCTGCAGGCAGCGCTAAACCACTGCGCCAGCAGCGCTAAACCACTGCGCCACCGGGGCTCCCCTTTATGAGGAATCTTGATCAAACTCTTAGTAGCCTCTCTAGGCCAGAAATCAAGCCAAGTCCTTGCCATCAGACATGATGCCAGCAGTACAGTACCTATAGATCTGGGTGAATTCCTCTTCCCAAGGTCCTCAAAATAACCTGAGGCTCCTCCACCTGCCAGGAAGTGACATCCTTTACTCACCTGGTGAGGCTGCTGGGAACTCTGTAACCAGGTATCAGGCCAACATTTTCAAGGGGTTTTATTGGCTTCATGTTTCATAAAGTCAACCTTACTTCTTAAAGGCTGTCTGGTCATAGCTCAGTCTGTGCATGTCTCTCTCAAACAGGATATTTCAGTGAAAGCCTTGGAAAAATAACCAATATTTCCAAGGTTGTCCTGTTTATAAGAAGACCAGATTCTTAGCAAACTTAGGCAAATGACAACAACTGCTAGGAAAGAACACCCCCAACCCCCACCCCGGAGACTGTGAATTTCAGAGTGTTCAGGTAAAGAGAAAAGTAAAATGCTTCAATTTGTTCATGAAATTAATACTTTATCACATTTTTGTAAGTCATAGCTATCTTAAGAGAAAGTTTTCTTAATCTGAAAGAGCAAATACTATTAGAGAGCCACCAAAATTTCAAGCAAGAGTCACAAAAACATAATCATCTTCCTCAATTTATTTAGTCCCATGTTACTAATTTTTATTCAGTTTGAATGTAATCTTTTAGTTAGTTCTGGAAATTCTTATCTATCTTAATTTTAATGGGTTTTTAAAAATATTATTTATTTGAGACAGTGAGCACAAGAGAGCATGCAGAGGGGCAGAGGGAGAGAGAATCCCAAGCAGATTCCGTGCTGAGCAGGGAACCCAACGCGGGCTCGATCCCAGAACTTCGGGAACATGAGCTGACCTGAAGGCAGATGCCCAACAAACCAAGCCACCAAACCTTAGAAAGTTTTAAAGCACATGCCTATGTAGGATTATAGCTCATGAAGGACAAAACAGAAACTTTGGGTTTCCTGGGCAAAGAGGAAAGAAAACAACTTTGTTTACATTTCCTTATCAAGAGCAGACCAATCATCCAAGAAAACTGTCTTTTGAACAGAGAGAAAGCAGAATTTCAATTGTACACCAGTGTACTTTTAAAATCCGCTCATTTTCAACCTTAGTCCATCTCCACCACATGTAAAATTCCTTTCCAAAGACTTCCCTTCACGAACCTTCTACAAACTTTCTTCTATAGTCTGATTTTGTCCCAAGCCATTACTCTGCAAACAACCTATCTCCTTTAGGACAAAATTACCTTCTTTTACCTTCAACAAAAACATATTCCCATTCCTCATACTTTTCTTACACATGCAGAGTTGCTTCCCTTATTCTCGTCAAAGTTAATTACATTCAGGAGAATTTTAACTTTTAGAAACCTTAGTCTCCCGTGGAAACTAAGTAGTAACCAACTGTGAGTCATTACGGCAGTACTCTTTAGATGGTACATTTATAAATCAATTAAGCCCAAAGCATGTTTTCCAATACTGACATATCCTGTTTCTCTGCAACAGGAAGCCAAAAGCACAAACCTGCGATCACTAATCGATGCTTTAGCACTCCATCCTATTTGAAAAAGACCTAAGTGTCCAACAAATTCAGTCCCAATTTTTCACTCAAGCAAGCCTTCAAGTTTCAGGTTGCCAAAGGCTCTAAAGGCTATCTTTTTTTTTTTTTTTTAAGATTTTGTTTATTTATTCATGATAGACACACACACACAGAGAGAGAGAGAGAGAGAAAGAGAGGCAGAGACACAGGCAGAGGGAGAAGCAGGCTCCATGCCGGGAGCCCGACGCGGGACTCCAGGGTCACGCCCCGGGCCAAAGGCAGGCGCTAAACCGCTGAGCCACCCAGGGATCCCCTCTGAAGGCTATCTTAACAATGACCCATGAGAATACTGAGAAAGACAAGATTCACCGTCATTTTAAGTCCCCTTTTTTGCTGACAAATTGTAACAGAGATCATGAGCTTAACTGACCGTCAGTAAACCTTGGTAGAATAAAATGTCTCATACTTAATGCTGATAACTCTAAAGATGGGTCTTAATTAAACCCAAATTATGTTTCACCTGGGTCCGCTTAAAATGCAATCAATTTGTTCCCCATTGTGAGTTTTCACCTGGGGCCCTGGTGGGGCAATCTGATGTGGGTGGTGCAAGTCCCAGGGGATGTTCTTCGCCCTTGACTGTGATGGGAGGAGCAGCTACCAATGGTGCTGGAAGCCCCAAGGATGCTCTAGGAGCCAGGGATGCAGGTGGCGTCCATGGTGGTGCAGACAGAGTGCGGGAGAGGCAGACGCTCAACCGCTGAGCCACCCAGGTGCCCCAAGGATGCCTGGTTTTATTTTTATTTATTTATTTATTTATTTTTATTTATGATAGTCACAGAGAGAGAGAGAGAGAGAGGCAGAGACACAGGCAGAGGGAGAAGCAGGCTCCATGCACCAGGAGCCCGATGTGGGATTCGATCCCGGGTCTCCAGGATCGTGCCCTGGGCCAAAGGCAGGCGCCAAACCGCTGCACCACCCAGGGATCCCCGGATGCCTGGTTTTAAACCTCATCGGCTCCAACAGAGGAGCAGACACCGTGTTTTCCCGCCAACAAGAGGGAATAAAACAGCGCAGGTTGGGCCGGCATAGACAGGGGACTTCCCCCAAACAAAAGGAGTTTCAGCAGCTACTCGGGAATGTTCCTTAAAGCTCCAGGCCCAAGGTAGACTAACCATAGTGGCCCCAATGATCACAGTCATGAATTAGGGAAACGAATGAGGGGGAAGCCCCTGCATCTATTAGGACGAGGAACAGCGAGCCAGCCACTGTCCAGTATGTAAGGAGAGGGGTGCGTATTTAGCCTGGTTGGCAGCCACACATATTCTGCAAGGGGCTCCTGAGTCAGGGTCCTGATTGACGACCAGGACTGCAATGAAACACCTATGCGGCTGCTGACCATGGGGAGGTGTTTCAGCGAAAGACCAGCCGGAGGACAGCGTGAGAAGACAGCCGGACCCGATAAAGGATCAGACCTATACAAGGCGACAGACTGTTGGGGCGTCGGCGTCCCATCCCCCAGAGGGATCATGTGATTCAAGGCGACTGACTTGTAGGGTGTCCCACAGCACTAGGGGGTCCCACAAGAAGAGGGCAGTGGCAAATGGCCTGGCGCTTCCCGTGGGGGCATCCCCTGGCAGCAGTGACAGCTAGACCCCCATGAGGCCCCGCCGGGTGGGAAAGAGGAGGGGGACTCACCCCTCAGCCTCGGGGGATCATGTTTGCCTGCAGACCAAGGTGGTGGCTGGAGCCAGTTGCGGGGTACTCTGGGAGCAGACCTTCTGTCGGAGTCAGAAAGCACAGGGCAGGGGCCCTTCATGCTCTGGGGTGCAGTCAATCTGACCTGTTCACCCTCAGACCACACCGGGGGGGGGCCTTGGCCTTTCTGTCCTTTGGGGGGCACTAGGGTGAGCCTCCTGAAGGGCCAAGAATAGCAAGTCCCTCTGAAGTGAAAAGGGGACATCCCTCACCCTCCTGGACCAGGGCAGTCTGGCTGGTTCCCGCCAGGGCTTTGGATCTTCACCCAGAAGTCACCGAGGCTGGAGGCCATCAGTCCCCCAGGGAGGACCAGAGCCGGTGCACAAGGGCAAGTCCGGAGAGACTCCCAGAGGACCCACAGAGAGCCCAGGACTGGCAAAGGCTCTGCATGTGGGGTTCCCCCAAATGTCAGGGGGCTGCAGTCTCCCTGTCTAGGCCACCAAATGTGGTACCTAAATGGGATGTTTCTCCATGGAATGGGGGCCCCCAAATGTGGGGCAACAATCGGGTGGAAGCCAGTACTTTGGGCAGGGAATGAATTCCTGGGAAGCAGAACAAAGGAGAAAGAAGTTTACTGAATACACCTCAAGGGAGCAGGTGCAAGACAGCAGAGAGGCGGCTGCCTGCCAGGAGGTGATGGGGGTGGGGGCTGCTTTTATTTTCATTTTTAAAAAAGATTTTATTTATTTATTCATGAAAGACACACACACACAGAGGCAGAGACACAGGCAGAGGGAGAAGCAGGCTCTATGCAGGGAGCCCAATGTAGGACTTGATTCTACCACCCTGGGATCATGCCCTGAGCCGAAGGCAGACGCTCAAACACTCAGCTATCCAGGTGCCCCAGATCTTGGTTCTTAACACTGAACAAAACCCTTCAAAATCAAACCCCCCGGGACACCTGGGTGGCTCAGGGGTTGAGCGTCTGCCTTTGGCTCAGGGCGTGATGCTGGAGACCCGGGATCAAGTCCCACATTGGGCTCCCTGCATGGAGCCTGCTTCTCCCTCTGCCTATGTCTCTGCCTCTCTCTCTCTGTATCTCTCATGAATAAATAAATAAATAAATAAATAAATAAATAAATAAATAAATAAATAAATCTTTTTAAAAAAATCAAACCTTTTATTTTGTTAACTTAAAAATAATGTAAGAAATATAAGAATATTTTCATGGTTACAATTTTTCTGGAAAAAAAAGGGGGAGGAGAGAGTAAACGGAGCGAGGACTCGTCCTACCAGACAGATTCTAACACACACTTAAAAGCTCCCAGTAACAGTTTATTATCAAAGAAGATGGAGATGACTGGAGCAAACCCCAAATACATAACCAAATACACGTGTACGCGAGTCAACGTCAAAGACGGCATTTATAACTAGCGAGGAGGGCGCCTGGGGGGCTCAGCAGTTGAGCCTCGGCCTTCCGCTCAGGGCGTGACCCCGGGTCCTGGGATCGAGTCCCGCATTGGGCTCCCCAAAAGGAGCCTACTTCTCCCTCTGCCTCTCTCTTTCATGAAAAAATAAAATCTCTTAAAAATATATTAGTGAGGAAAGGGGAACGACCCATCCATCAAATAGGACTCAGGTTAACCAGCTTGCCAGCGTCACACAGCCCCTAAGCAGTAGGAGACTGAGCCCGTCAGCTTTCTGAGCGTCTGGCCTTCTCACTTCAGAACCTGCCCTTTTAAACGTTACTGGTGCCTGTCCTTGTGCACCTGTGTCCCAAGCCTCTGACAGGACAATACAAACAGAAGGCATCCACGAATAAGACCACGCAGGCTTGCGGGATTGGCGGGGTGGGGGACACGACTAAAAAGAATTGGAACAAAAATGTAAAACCGCTTGCTGGGGTTGCCCACCCGGACCCACGGGGCGAAGCCCAGCCGCCGGCAGCTCACAGATCCCGCAGGACCAGCAGGTGCACCACCCTGTGCCGCCCGAAGCCCCCCGACCCCGGGAGCAGAATCGCGCGAGTCCCAGCGGGGACCGAGGGCCTGGCCCGAATCTGTGCAGAGGAAACCCCCCTCCAAAAGCGGACCTGGCCCGAGCCTGCGCAGAGGGGACCCACGAGCGGGCGCGAAGCGGCGCTGCGGGATCGCCATAGTCTCGCAGTGGAGGCACCCCCCCTCCCGCAGCGGGTCCGGCCGAGTCTGCGCAGAGCGGACAAGGTGGCGGGGGGCGGGGCCGCGGCGGAGGGGAGGCCCGCTGGGTGCGTAGAGCCAGGGGTTCGGCGCCCGTCCCACGCCGGGAAGCAGGGTGCAGGGCAGACTCTCAGGGGTCGGCCAATAGGGAGAGGCTGGGGTCTCGGGGAAGGCGGGGAGGCCCCCACCCACGGCTCCCCGCGCGCACCGCCACGACCCTCAGCTGCCGCTCCCCCCCACCCCTGTGGGGTTCCAGTTCCCTCCTAGGGGCCCGCGAGCTGCCTACCTCCAGCCCCTACCCCCCCCACCGGTGCAGACCACTCCTCTCTCTGCCCTGCTCTGTGCCTGGAGCCTTTGCAAAACACTTGGTTCCTGGGTTCGGGGGTTACCGAGGGCCCCGATGTGGGGGGGACACACGTGTTCTCACACTTGATTGAGATATTCCTGCCCTTGGAGTTCAGAAGAGGGGGGGAACGCTTAGGCCAGTAGCGTCCTAGTAAAGGTCTGCACATCCTTTTAGGAGTAGCTTCCAAAGCCCTTTCCTCTGAGAAGCCTTCCAGAGTTGCCTCCGAGCTTCTCTTGTCTAGCTTGCGGGGCTAGTGCTCACTCACACTAACTTGTTTCACGCGTTTCCTCAGTGGGTGCATCTCCAGGTCCCTCTAGACATGGTTCTGTCTTTGGCATCACCCAGCACATAAACATCAATGTGACTTTAACAGGATTGAAATGGTTAGAAGGTGCCAACAGGTAGGCCTGGAACCGTGGGGAGTGTCACAGGCTGAAGAAATGATGGCCCCTGGGCTGGGTAGGGCTGCAGACGTGTCTCCCCCCATTGCTCACACAGTTCGTTTTTATTTGAATCCGTGGCCAGTATTTTAAAATGTGGAAATGGCTTTCACATATACTCACACAAGGTGTAGATGTTAGTGTGTCTTGGAGGCTCAGACGTATCCACAGAGCCCACATGTCTACAGGTGCACGTAGCAGGAATTAGAGGAGCTCTGCTTTCAGACTCTGCATCGAATTCCCAGATCCCCAGTTCCCACCAATCTCCACTGTCTGCCTGGCATGGAAGCAAAGTATCCCTTTGTCGTGTACCATCTAGCTTCCGTCACTTGTTCTGATGAAGTGCCTGGCCTCTGGCAGGCATGTGAGTCCTTAGTTCTCAGTGTAGGTGGTGGACAGCAGGTGCCTGGGTGGCTCAGGTCGTGATCCCCGGGTCCTGGGATGGACTCCTGCATCGGGCTCCTCACAGGGAGCCTGCTTCTCCCTCTGCCTGTGTTTCTGCCTCTCTGTGTGTTTCTCGTGAATAAATAAATTAAATATTTTTAAAAATAGATGGTAGAGAGCTGGAGGGACATCAGGAGCAGAAGAGTCAGGGGCAAAGGGACAGCATGGGACGAGGCCTGGCACACAGGGAAGTTAGGGGAGACGCTGGAGCACAGGTTTGCTCTTAGGTGAACTGTACACTGGGGCTATTGGTACACACTGAATTGTGCCCCGCTCCCAAACTGTGTTCCTTCCGTATATTGAAGTCCTAACCCCAGTAGCTCAGAATGTGACCCTTTTGGAAGTAGGATCATTGTAGATATAATTAGTTAAGGGGAGGAAATCCTGGAGTAGAATGGGTTGCCAATTCAGTATGACTGGTGTCCCTGTAAGAATGGGGCCATGTAAAGAGACAAAAGCAGGGAGAAGCCATGTGGACAGGGAGGCCGAGCTTGTGGTCACGCGTTTACAAAGCAAGGGATATGAGGACTGCCCGCTGCCACCAGAGCCCACAGAGGGAAGCCACCTCCAAAACTGCGAGAGTGAATTTCTCTTGGAAGCCGCCCAATCCATGTACCTTGCTACAGCAGCCCTAGGGTACATGACACAGCTCTCAGGTCCAGAGAAGCTGTTATTTCCTTGAACAGATGACTTAAACTTCCACGGTGAGTTTTTTATCATTGTTGTTAGTGAAGGCAGGATTTGAGAAAAGTCCTCCATCCAACAGCATGGAGCCAGAAAACAGATTGATTAGATTTTCCAGCAATGCATACATGAGGTTCAAAGGTTCCAGATGAAGATGGGGATGGAGAGGGCCACAGGAGGAATCTTCAGGTTTCCCAGGTATGAATAGAGGGGGGTCTGAGATGATGAGGGCATTGCTGCTCCCCTGAGTCACCTGCAGGGCTGGGTAGGCACCAAATGCTGGGCCCCTAACACACAGCCTTGACTCAGTGGGCCTGGGATGATGCTTGAGAACTGGCATTTCTACTAAGCTCCTGGGTGAGACTGATGTATATGGTGTGTGTACCACATTTTAAGTGGCATATGCTCCTGTGGGTCTGGCCTAGAAACCTCTAGAACACAAGCCCCTATGAGGGCAGGGACTTTGTCTCGTGCACCAGGGTATTCCCACAGTGTAGAACGGTGCCTGAACACCGTAGGATCGCAATTCAGTATGTGTTCCATGAAAACTGGTCAGAAATGGATGGTAAGAAAGAAGAATAGCTATGAGATGATGAGTTCATCTTCATCCATCTGCTTCATGATCCAGCAGGACACAGAACTAGACATGTACTGTGATTACAGACTAAAGTGTGGGTGAGGAGCTGGAGTTCCAGATTCAGGATTCTGCCCAGATGAAGGTGATCACGGGAGCCAGAGGTGACGGAATCACTGAGATGTCCCAGAAAGATGGACAAGGGGCTGAGCTTCTGTAACATTCCCCAAAAAAAAGAAGAAATACAAGGAGAAATGGGTAAAGAAAGTACAGAGGTGGCCAGACCATCACACATTGTGGAAGTCAAGGGAGAAGAGAACTTCAGGGGTGATTTAGGGAAAGAGGGTCAACAGGTAACCTATTGGCTTATTCTATCATTTCTTTTTTTTTTTAATTTTTATTTATTTATTTATTATTATTATTTATGATAGTCACAGAGAGAGAGAGAGGCAGAGACACAGGCAGAGGGAGAAGCAGGCTCCATGCACCGGAAGCCCGACGTGGGATTCGATCCCGGGTCTCCAGGATCGCGCCCTGGGCCAAAGGCAGGCGCCAAACCGCTGCGCCACCCAGGGATCCCCTATTCTATCATTTCTTATTGAGCACCTGCTACATCCAGGGTATGGTTCCAAAGCCAAACAGACAGAGGCCCCTGGCCCCGTGGTGTTTCTTGGGAAGCTTACCCTGTGATGGTGTGCAGCTTTCCATCCGGCAGGGGGCTTCATCCCCACGGTAGCCCCTTCTGTGGGGCGCCTCAGGGAAGGATGGCCAAGGGAGATCAGGACGCCGGGATTCTGATCCAGTTTTACTCCCACAGCGCATGCCCAGGGCTCCGAACCGTAACCCATGGCGACGCTCTTCTGCCTTAGGTACGAGTGGCATGCTCGTGATTCTAGCATCTGTGCCTTGCGTTCCAGATGCTCCTCCTGGGCTCGTGACCTGCTGACCCATCACCAGCTCCCCGGACGCTGCTCCCGGAGGCCCCACAGGTGCCTCACACATGTGTAAGGTGATGTCCCCTTCACCCTGTCCTCACCTCCAACTGTGCAAATCAGACAGTTGCCCAAGCGAGAAGCATGGATGTCACCCTGACGCCTGTCCCCTTGCCCCCTCTTTTGAGGACAGCACCGGTTCCGCCCAGTTTTGCCTCTTTAACGTTCGGACTCGATCCATCTGTGCCCACTGCCCGAAGCCCACTGGGGCTGTCACCCACTCCAGGGCACATCACTGCTGGGGTCACCTGCCCCAAAACCCTACTCGCAGCCCTGACCCACCGCCCATCCTGCAGAAAATGATCCAGACGGTCTTCTAAGCACCTCACTGTGCTTACACCATTTTGTGTTAACCCCTTCACGGGCTCCCCTCGGCCTTCAGGAGGAAGTGCAAACCTCTTGGTCCTCTGTGAGGGGACCAGCACTTCCCAGTTTCCCAGTCTGCCTTCCTGCAGCCTGGGCTTGGTCACGGGGTGTGTGCGTGGACACCTGTGGCTCTACTTACCTCCTGTCCATGCTCATGCCGGAGCCTCGTGGAAAGTCTGGTTGTCTCTTGGGGCCTCTGAGGCCTCAGCTTAGAAACTTCGTCACCTGGGGGCACAGGTCCAGGTTTGCTCCCACCCTGGGGCACTGGGAGGTCATTAGTGCATTTCTACTCCTCCTCCTCCTCTGTCCTTCTCTGTCCTGCTTCTGTTACTGGATCCGCACCATTTCTCCTTTACCAGCAAGCACAGGGCTTAGATTTCGTCTGTGGACAGTGCTGGAGGGACAGCGGTTGCTGTGCTGCTTCGTGTTTTTTTTTTCTTTTAAAAACTATGTATTTATTTGAGCAAGCATGAGCCGGGGGAGGGGCAGAGGGAGAAGCAGACTCCCCGCTGAGCAGGGAGCCAAAGCGGGACTCAACCCCAGGACCCTGAGACCATGACCTGAGCTGAGGGCAGACACCCACTGAGACCTCCAGGCACCCCAAGGCCTTTCTCCATGCGCAACAGGCTCTCACGACCCTTGAGCCAGCCAGGTGCCCCCGATAACCTCATTTTAACCTAAGTGCCTCTTTAAAGACCCGCTCTCCAAATACAGTCACGTTCTGAGGGACCAGGAGTTAGGATGAAGGCAGATGAGTTTTGTGGGGGATACAGAGCAACCTTGAGAAGTCATTCAACCTGAGTCTCAGCTTTCTCCTCTGTGCAAAGGGGCTAAATCGTACCCGCACATGGGGGTGGGGGTGACCTCCCAGTAACATGCCTCGTCCATGGTGGGAGCAGGTAAGGACTTGATATCCGCCTATGTCACTGATTAGGACAGTGTCAAAAGGCAGCAGCATCTTCAATGTGACTGAATATCCCAGAATTTAAAAACCCACCCACGGAACAGGTTAAGCAGAGCAGGAAAAAATGTTTTGTAAACACCTCTATGTGCCAGGTTTTGGTATCCTGTCCATGTGGAAGCAGAGAGAGAAAGAAGTCCTTAGCACTGGGGTTGCTGGGTGCACCTCACAGGTCCCCAAGGCTGCCTGGAGCCCCCTGACCAAATCCCCACGGAGAGGCCAGGGGGAAGGGGTGGTGTGTTCATAGGCCTGGCCCCCTTGCTTCGGTGCCCCCAATGTCCCCAGGACGGATGCAGGCTCCTGCTGTAGCTGCTCCCAGCGAGGCCCATGGTATCTTTGCTCTACCGGGCAGTGTTCCCCAGGGCACCCCCAAATGGACTCCCACACATGCTCCATCTCAAGGGCTGTTTCCCAGGGACTGCAAGCTAAGAATACGAGGCATCAGAGAAGCAGAGTAAAGAAATAAAGAGATGTAAGGCATGGGAAGTGAATGAACACTGTTTGTTTAAGTCATCAATTCGTAAAGAAGCTGCAAATCCGGGATCCCTCGGTGGCGCAGCGGTTTGGTGCCTGCCTTTGGCCCAGGGCGCGATCCTGGAGACCCGGGATCGAATCCCACGTCAGGCTCCCGGTGCATGGAGCCTGCTTCTCCCTCTGCCTGTGTCTCTGCCTCTCTCTCTCTCTCTGTGACTATCATAAATAAATAAAAATTAAAAAAAAAATTATAAAAAAAAAAAATAAAAAAAAAGAAGCTGCAAATCCCCACCTGCCCAGCTCCTTCGCCTCGTGCATCTGGATGCATCAGTATGTTGATGTTTCCCTCCATCAAATTCCACATGGAGGTGGAGGTAGAGGTGGAGGAGCAAGGGACACGAGGTTACGTGCTGGGGTGCGTATCCTGGCAGGACGCTGCTGTGGGGGCACAGGGAACTGGAGGTGTAGCCCAGGCTTGGGCCTCAGGATATGGGGGGTCAGCAAGGAAGAGGGGGCAGGGAGGACAGAAGAAGGAAGGTCTCCACGCAGAATGTGCAGCGTGTGGGAAGGCCAGGAAAGGTGAGGGGGACAGTCTGTGTAAGGACTTTATGAGGGGTGCAGGGGGGCTCAATCGGTGAACCATCTGCCCTTGGCTCAGATCATGACCTCAGGGTCCTGGGGTCAAGTCCCACATCGTAGGGCTCCCTGCTCAGTGGGGGGTCTGTTTCTCCCTCTGCCCTCCCCCTGCTTGTGTGCTCTCTCAATTTCTCTCTCAAATAAATAAGTAAAATAAAATCTTAAAAAAAAAAAGATGTAAACTGAATTCTAGAATTAAAATTACAATGTCTGAGATGAAAAATGAGGATAGAACCTACCAAAGTGAAACAGATAAAAATACTTAGGAAAAAAAAAAAGGATGACAGGAGCATCAGTGAGCTGTGAGACCACTTCAATCAACCAAATATATGTGTGATTACAGTCTTGGGGGAAAAAAGAGGAAAGCAGAAAAATACTTGAAGCAATCGGTACTGATGGTTTTCTGAATCCGGTGAAAACAACAGGTAGAAAACACATGAAGAAAAATACACCAACGTGCTGATCAAAACCAGATTGGCTGAATCCAGTAATATGTACATGGGCAGCATAATTGGCTGCGACATGGAATTTCATTTTAGAAACGAGGACTAAGGACGCCTGGGTGGCCCAGCGGTTGAGCGTCTGCCTTTGGCCCAGGTCATAATCCCAGGTTCAGGGATGAGTCTCACATTGCGCTCCCTGCAGGGAGCCTGCTTCTCCCTCTGCCTGTGTCTCTGCCTCTCTCTGTGTCTCTCATGAATAAATAAATAAAATATTTTTTTTAAAAAAGAAAGAAACAGGGATCCCTGGGTGGCGCAGCGGTTTGGTGCCTGCCTTTGGCCCGGGGCGCAATCCTGGAGACCCGGGATTGAATCCCACATCGGGCTCCCGGTGCATGGAGCCTGCTTCCCTCTCTGCCTGTGTCTCTGCCTCTCTCTCTCTCTGTGACTATCATAAATAAATAAATAAAAATTAAAAAATATATTTAAAAAAAAAATAAAAAAAAATAAAAAAAATAAAAAAGAAAGAAACAACTAAAATTTAAAAGTAGAGGAAAGTATTGGATTTTCGGGAGATTGTGCAGAATAGAATCTGAGGGAAGAACTTTCTGTGATAGATCCCCGAACACATCGCATTCCACAACTTCATTGTAAACCCGCTAGTTAGACTTGACAAAGAAACAGCCTGGGAACAATAATTAGACCCCACATCCGCTTACACTGGCTCCTTAGCAGCACTAACATAGACGGAATAATAATAGTAATAACGTAGGCAGAAGGTTTAAGATAAAACACAGCCCGTAACGATCAGCGCAGAGGCTAAGATGCAATCTGTATTCTATGATGGCTCTGGAGCTTGCGAGAAAGCATCCCTAAGTCGGGGTGAATCGGAAGAAATGTAAAATGGGTGAAGAAGAAAAAGAAGCTGCACCTATTGGGCGCCTACCACATACAAAGCACTTTACCGAGGAGGACACAGAAACTCAAGGAGTGACCGAGATAATCTTGGGGTCCTGGGATCGAGTCCCACATCAGGTTCTCTGCTCAGCGGGGAGTCTGCTTCTCCCTCTCCCTCTGCACATCCCCCTCAAATAAATAAATAAAATCTTTAAATTAAAAAAAAAAAAAGGGGATCCCTGGGTGGCGCAGTGGTTTGGCGCCTGCCTTTGGCCCAGGGCGCGATCCTGGAGACCAGGGATCGAATCCCACGTCGGGCTACTGGTGCATGGAGCCTGCTTCTCCCTCTGCCTATGTCTCTGCCCCTCTCTCTCTCTCTATGTGACTATCATATAAAAAAAAAAAAAAAAAAAACCAGCAGCAGCAGCAGCCATTTCAGAGCTTATTTAGAGGATTCTCCTGAGCAGATGGACAAATCCATCCGAGGAGAGCACCAGCCCATGATGAGACGAAGCCGTCGCAACAAGAACATGGAGTCCCAGCAGATGTGTCTGAGACCAGCTCGCATGGAGGACAGACGTGTCCAAGAGCAGAATAATGTGTAAAAGAAGGAAGAAAAGAGATAAAGAAGCAAAGGTGGTAACAAGAGACTCTGAGGATGGCGCGAGGGAGCTATTACTGGATCTGTTCTCATCTCTTTCCTGGTGCTGGAAGTGGCAGGTGCCTCAGGTGCTCCACGGTAGCCCTCACCTGAGTACACGGCTGCTACTGCACAGAGACCTTTGGTTCACAGCTTCAACCTTTTCCCCATCCCCGTGTCACACAAGGGGATGCCACAGGTAACACACAACTTTCACACCACCGTCACCCTTTGAGGTGATCAAGGATCGGCAGAGAAAAGCCAAAGGCAGCTTTCGGTTCACTGAGTGTCCAGTTCATCACTCGTGGCCTCTTGCTCATGGAAACCATTTGTCTGCTAAACACTGAGCGGCTGACCCTGGGGTAGACGCCCTTCTACAAGGTCAGCCCCATCCCCGGGGAGCAAGACATAAGCAGGTGCCACAAAGGGTGTCTGAGGTCTCTTGACCCCGATGAGGAGGACAGAGGAAGGCTTTAGGTCACAATAAGAGTGCCTTGCACATAGTGGATGCTGTGATGCTGGAGGGGGTGAGGTCCCTCTGGTGCCACGTGTCTGTGGAGCCTCAACGTGGGAGTCCCACCCCAAGGTGGAATCATCACATTGGGAGGGTTGCTGCCCGGCATGAACATCTCTATGATGCAGAGTCTCTGGGCCCCGCTGAAGACCTCCAAGGTCACATGCAGTGCCCCCCCCCCCGAGGCTCCCCAACGTGGGAGTCAGTGGACTGGGATGTGGATTATAGTTCCACTCGGCCCAAAGCCCCTTCCTCTGCATCCTTGCCCCACAGTTTAAAGCCAGCAGGTCAAGGGTGTAGCAGTGCTCTGCTCCCTACTTGGTGATTTGTGGGGGATCTGCCCAGGAGCTGTCCCAGACTGTCCCCACTCTGAGGCATAACCAACCTCCTGTGCAAAAGGCCTCAAACGGTCAAGTCACCAGGCCAGCCCTCCTACCCCACAGCCTCGGAGGGCATCGCCTTCCCCACCTGAGTCCATCCATTCCCACCATAACTAAGTTAGAATTCAACAGCAAAGTATTCAGCAGCTGTCCGAACCGGCCAGGATGGCAGCTGGGAGTGCCTGTGGAGTGGTGGAAAGCAGCCTATCCTGGGTGTGGAAGGCAGACTCCTGAGCCTCTGGCTGGCTGTCGCTAGCCCCCCGACCCCTCCTTCCCCACAGGTCAAGGACCCCCACACCACGGGCTAGGGCCTTGCGTGGTGGGGCTCCTACCTTGTGGTCCGGAGGCAAGGCAGTTGCCGCAAGCAGGTAGCTATCTGGAGACATGGCGGGTGCCAGACGCCATAGGAGTTGGGTCCACGCTGCCTGCAAAGCGATTTACAAACAAGGACACATGAGTGTTCCAGCCGCACCGCTGCTGACACAGGGGCGGCTGGAGTGGCTGCAGAGTCCTCTGAGCAATCCTGGGGCTGGAGACGAAGATGTGGGAGGGAGTGGGGAGGGCCTAAGCCAGGTCTGGGGCTCACAGAGAGGCTTCACCTGCCCATGGGTTACCGCCCCCAGCCCTCCTCCTCTCTCGGAGCTCTGGGAGCCTTTGGGAGCACCGCCTACCATCAGATGCTCAGTTCTCACCAGCCTTCTGGGGCTCAGACCTGCTCCCTCCGTCCTGGGCCCCCTTGGGGCCCCCAGGGTCCGTGCACAGGTGCTAACACGTCACAGCGCTCAGCAAGTGGCAGGGCTCTGTGCATCCCCGGGCTCTCCTGGTGCTTCTCCTTCCCGGAGGCTCTTGGGTGCATGCCCAGGCAGATGGCTCCGACAGAGACTCACCCCAAATGTCGAGGCACGCCACAAGGGAGTGGTTATTGCTGCTTACCAGGTTAGTGTCTTTCCAAGGTCAAAGTTTGCTTTGAGAAGTGAGGGAGAGGACCACGGGGGTGGGGGGGTGGGGGGGTTCTGAGGACAGGGTTCAGGTGGCCTATGAGTTCCCCAAGGTCACGTGCATATTTTTCTAGGCAGAGCCTTCTTGAGTCTCGGGGATCCCTCACCTAACAAGCTTAGGAACCTGCCTTGGGGAAGCACTTGATGAATCTGAGGAGTAATGACAGTAAACACTAGCCCTGAAATCTCAGCAATAAGGGGGTCGGAAAAAACAAAACAAAACCAGACGTGTTAATGCACCAGGAAAACTGGGATGAGGAAAACGTGCACAGACAGAGCTACCAAAGTTCCCGAGGGCTTTCTCAGAGTCTTGAGGGAGGCCCTTGAGAGTGTGAGGTCTGGTTTTTGTAGCTCTAGACCTACAGGAATCCATAATTCTTTTCCTTGATGGAATTCTGCTTGCACAAACAAGTGACTAGTGCTCACGGTGACAGGCAGATTCTGACAGCCAGAGATGGAGGGGGGTCACGGAAGGAAAGCTCCAAGTCCCCTTGAGAAGAATGGGTGCAAGGTGGGGGAGGGGCAGGGGACGTGGTCACAGGGGGTGTGAACTGTGTGTCCAGTAGAGAGACTGTGTCATCCACCAGAGCACCAAGGGTGCATGTGGATATCACGCATGTGAACACGGGACTGGAAGTCGGAGGGACGGGTGACACCCAGGTTTTGTGTTGCAGAGGCACAGTCGGGCAGGTGAGCTTCAAGGTCAGCAACAAGCAAAAGCACGCCCTGCATGTGTCATCACCGTACGGGTGTGGGGGAACAGGGGGTTGAGAATCACCCCACCAGGGGCCTGAGTGCCAGACCAGAGCACAGATGGAAGGATGAGGCCTACCGCCAGGTGTTCACACAATGGCACTCCGCTCAGGCCCAGGCTCTGAACCCGGGGGAGCACAGTGGGCTTCAGAATAAACCCACTGAATGGGTTTGGCCATGAGAGGTTACATTTCAGAGGCCGTTATATGAATCTATTATAGTCAAATCCACGTAGTAAAAATAAAAGCTGTGTGCAGGGTACAGGTGGGGCAGCAGCAAATCTGCCTGTTGGGACCCAGCACGGGGCTGGGGCAGGCTGCAGGCCCTACCAGCTGTATGTGCACCAACAGGCGCCCCACCCACCCAGTCACCCCTACCTCCCCACCCCACCCACATGGTCACCCCACTGCCCCACCTCGCCCACGCGGTCACCACCACCACCCTAGTGGCACACCTCTGTCAGTCAAAAATCAATCAGCTGGGCACGTCAAACAGGTGGACTTTATGGTACATAAACAGTACCCCCCTTAAGCAGCTTATGCTCCTCGGCAAGGCTGTGAAACCCAACACGGAGACTGCATGGCCGCATGCCGGCACCTAGCACACACTCAGGGAACGCGAGGCACTGGTGACTGGTCAGAAAGGGACTGAGAGCAGAGTGCTCCAGGTGTGCCTGGCAGTCCAGGCCCATAGGGTTGCCTCAACCCCACAGCTCACGGAGTCCAAAACCCCTCCCTTCATGGTAAGAGCAGGCAGGGGCCCCCAGGTGCTAGCCGCCACTTGGCACCTCAGACACGTGGGCACATGGAGACCCCAGGATGTTTCCTCGGAGAAGCAGCAGCTTGTGGGAGAACACGGAACATATGGTAGAGACGACGAGGACCCCTGGGCTGCAGGCAAGCCAGGTGGAGGCTCTGGGTGGCGCAGCCTGAGCCCATGGGCAAGCCGGCCCAGCACAGGGGCCCCAGAGAGAGCAGCATCACGGCTCCCCCGCTCCCCTCACCCACAAGCCCCTCGGGGCTCTGAGGCCCCGCAGAGTCCTGGCCAGGGCCTGTCTGTCTCCTCCATCCTGCACCCTCTGCAGGAGAACGAGGCGGTCTGGCAGGACGGGGTATCCCCGGGACTTCCCACTCTTCAGCAACACCACCATCATCTAAGGAAACCCGGGAGCACGTCTGCAGGACTGTGAAGCTAGAAGGAGCCCATCGATGGATCCCAGGGCCACACAGTTAGGGAACAGGGGGCATCGCCTCCACCTCAACCTAACACCGCAGGGGCACACGTTCACGCATCTGCTGTGTCACCCTTGGGTGGCGTTGGGATCATGTGCCTGCACGTTTCCTGGAAAGTGACGATCTGGGCTACAAGGTGGCTACTGACCCCAGAGCGACGAGATCCACCCAGGGGGGCAGCAGGCAGGGAGCGCCAAGGGGTACAGAGGGAATATTAAGGCCTGAAACAGCTTTTACGATTTAACCCGGTACCGAAACTTCACCAATGACTCCTAAAAGCGTCCATCCTTTCCAGCCGCTGCATTACACACGGGGAGAAGGGGGTCTGTCCACGCATGGGATGTGCAAGCTATGGGCGCGGCAAGTCCGCACGGAGCCCCTCGCCGGCTGCCATCACTCTGCGCAGTGGACACTCTGGTGCCGGAGCAGGTGGGAGCTGCGGCTGAACGTCTTCCGGCACTGCTGACACTCGTACGGCTTCTCGCCCGTGTGGATTCGCTGGTGGAGGAGCAGCTGGGAGTGCTGGCTGAATGTCTTCTCACAGTCAGTACATTCATAAGGCTTCTCCCCAACATGGATCTTCTGGTGGAGCAGCAGCTCCGAGCTGTCCCAGAAGGTTCTCGCACATTCGCTGCACTGGTGGGGCTTCTCTCCGGTGTGGATCCTCTGGTGGACGGTGAGGTGTGAGGTCCGCCTAAACGCCTTTCCGCACTCGAAGCACTCGTAGGGTTTCTCCCCGGTATGGATCCGCTCGTGCCTCAGGAGCTCCGAGTTGCCCCGGAAGGCCTTCCCACACTCCTTACACACGTAGGGTTTCTCGCCAGTGTGAATGCGAATGTGCCTAATGATCTCGGAATTCTGGCCGAAAGTCTTGCCACACTCATTGCACTCGTAGGGTTTGTCCCCGGTGTGAATCCTCTGGTGCCGGATGAGCTCGGAGCTCTGCCCGAAGCCCTTCCCGCACTCGTTACACAGATAGGGCTTCTCCCCGGTGTGGATCTTCTGGTGCCTGATGAGGCCCGAGCTGTGCTTGAAGGCTTTGCCACACTCGGTGCACTCGTGGTACCTCTCCTCCGTGTGGATGCGCTGGTGCTGGATGAGCTGCGAGCTCACCCGGAAGGTCTTTCCGCACTCGTTGCACTCATAGGGCTTCTCGCCCGTGTGGATCCTCTGGTGCAGGATAAGCGCTGAGTTCTGGCTGAAGGCCTTGCCGCACTCCTCACACTTGTATGGCCTCTCCCCCGTGTGGATCCTGTGATGGTGGATGAGGTGCGAGCTCTGGATGAAGGCCTTGCCACACTCGCTACAGGCAAAGGGCTTCTCCCCCGCATGAATCCTCAGGTGCCGTCGCAGGCTGGAGTTGGTCCCAAACGTCTTTCCACACTCTTTGCACTCAAAGGGCTTCTCTCCGCTGTGAACCCTCAGGTGCTGAATCAGATGCGAGTTCTGGTTGAAGGCCTTGCCGCACTCTTTGCACCTGTGAGGCTTCTCACCCACAGGAGCTCTCTGCGTACGGGGAGACTCCACATTCTCCATGGGGTTGTGGTGGGAGGTGGTGAAGGCAGGGATGGCCTCAGCTGGGGGGTTGGCCTGAGGCGTGAGCAGGGGTGCCCCGAGGCTACAGGTGCGCTCCTGCTCCCCACGCTCCCCGTACTTCTCACCTGGGGGTGGCCTCTGAAAGACAATGGGCCCTGGTACAAGGCCCCTACCCCGAGGGGACAACTGCCCCGTGCTCCTTTCAGTGGACCTTCTCGAGTGCCTGTCCACCGTGTCTTCTGCGCAGGCCACTCCGAACTCCTGGCCCTGGCAAACCACCCAGGGAAGTGTCTCCAATCCTGTCGCACGTGGCTCAGGTTCCTCAGAAACTTCTTCCTTGGGGATTACCTCCGTGCTCTCGGTCCCCATGTCACAATCTGAAATGACAGAGGGCAGCGTGTGAAGTGGCTACATGGCACGTGACCAGAATAGAGCTAGGGCACTCTGCCCATCAGTCGCCTGCCCAAGCGGTCCCAGGGTCTGGTGAGATGACAGGATGCTGCCAAAGAAGGGACCTGGGGTGATGGCGGGCATGCCAGACAAAAGGCAGACCCCGACAAAGAAGGGTGACAGGATCATCGGAGGAAGAGACTTTTTTTTTAAGATTTTATTTATTTATTCATGGGAGATACACAGAGTGGCATAGACACAGGCAGAGGGAGAAGCAGGCTCCCTTTGGGGAGCCTGATGTGGGACTCGATCCCAGGACCCCAGGATCACGACCTGAGCTGAAAGCAGATGCTCAACCACTGAGCCCCCCAGGCGTCCCCAAAGGAAGATACTTAAGGAGGGAGATGGGATACGGATGGGGAGAGACACTGGTGAAAGTTGCAGAATACGGGTGATGAGCTGGCAGAGGGCCTGGGGTGGTAGAGAGCATGAATAGGGTGTGCACGGCCAGGACAGGCCCGGAGAAGAGGCAACACGACAAGCAGAGCAGTACCCAGGGTGGAGCGAGGAACCCCTACTACGCACAGCCCCGGGGCGCTCACCAGGCTATGGGCCAGGGCGCCGTATCCACAGGCCCGACGGTCCAAAGGTCCCCACAGTGGAGCCCAAGCAGAACCACATGTCAGGCCTCTGGGCTCCCCTCTGTGTGGGTGACACAGTGCCGGCCTCAGGGTGCCCCGGGTCCGCTCTACCCCCCACAGATGGAAGGGCTGCCCCCGCCCCGTGAGAAGCCCCAAGACTGGTCACTTTCCAGGCTCCCTTCAGTGCCGCTGACCTGCCTCCTCCTTCCCCAGGACCAACCCCTTAAAAAGTCCCGTGTGGGGCTAGCTCTTGCTCTGTCTCAGTACTTCCGGTCTGCGCTCACCTTTCTCCAAGTCAGTCCCAGCATCACCTTGTGAAACGTCCAAACGTATCCTGGTGTTTTCACGCCTGTCATGTCTCTGTACGCCTTTCCTCTTGGTTGACTTTTCTTACGTTTTCTAACCTGTAATTCTTATTATGTGGCAACAGGACTTATTTTTTACAGACTGGTTTTATAAACGATCTCTACAGAATTTTCTTCATCCTTTTTGGATCCCAAAGCCTACACTTTTTCTAAAATTCTGAAAGGCTGTGGCAAAAAGTCTTTTAGTTGTCACCGATGTCCTTTCTTCGACACCTCATTAGCAACAGAATAATTTATTTATTTAGTGTAACAAGGAGCCTAGCTAGAGAAATACATTCCTCAGCTTTCTCTGTGGCTGGCTTTGGCCACATGAGATGGTAAAGTGCAGATGAAAGAGCGTGGGACTTCTGGGAAGTCTCCTCAGGGGCGAGGAGATGCCTTGCTTCATTCTTTTCCACACTGTGCCCTGGGCGACAGGTGATGGGCAGAGTGCCACCTTGGACCGTGAGCACACAGGACACTCCAGACCCTACGATGGGGCCAGAGCTGGAAGGACCCTGATGACTCCACAGAGCTGCCATCCTGATCCTGGAATGCCTGCCTCTGGACACACACCTTTTTTTTTTAAGAATTTATATTTATTTATTCATGAAAGACACAGAGAAAAGCAGAGACACAGGCAGAGGGAGACGCAGGCTCCCTGCAGGGAGCTCAATGCGGGACTCAATCCCAGGACCCCAGGTCAAGGGCCTGAACCGAAGTCAGATATTTCATCAACTGAACCACCCAGGCACCTCTGGACTTTTTTTTTTTTTTAAGATTTTTATTTATTTATGAGAGAGAGAGAGACAGGCAGAGACACAGGCAGAGGGAGGAGCAGGCTCCATGCGAGCAGGCTCCATGCAGGGAGCCTGACGTGGGACTTGATCCTGGGTCTCCAGGATCAGGCCCTGGGCTGAAGGTGGCACTAAACCGCTGAGCCACCCAGGCTGCCCTGGCCTTTTTTTTTTTAATGTGAGAGAAATATGCTTTTGCCTTGCTTAAGCCATTGTGGTTTTTTGTCTTGTTTTTATGAAGCCAAACCGATTCCTAATTGGTACCCTGGCCCAGGGGTGCAGTGATCCCTGTCACAGAAGTGAGGTCCCAGCACTAGGACAATGAGCCTGGCCTCTGTCCAGGGAGTCCACAGCCAATCTGAGGAGTACAATCCTCTGCCAGTAAAGGGATTACTGTGGAAGGTGATTCTCAAGCGGGAATGGTCAGCCATGGGCCTATTTATCCCCAAGACAATGCAGAGTCGTGGAATGGTTTTGAAGCCAAGGAGTGACACAGCCCACGGTCAGGCACAGGCGCACTAATGGCCACTTCGTGGAACTACCCAGTAAGCGGCAGGCCAGGACCCAGGAGGTCAGCAAGGCAGTGGAGGCAGGCACAGGGCAAGGGGCATGAGCTCTAACCAGGGCGCCAACAGCAGAGGGGATGCAGAGAAGACAGCTGGAGAAAGAGTTCGGAGGTCAGATTCTGTGAGACGGGGCTGGAGGTGACTGCATGGGATACAAGGTAAGGAAGACAGAGGAGGGGTCACGACGCTACCCCGATCTCCCTGGAGATAAGAAGACAGGCTATCAGGGGCCAGCAGTGCCAGGGGCTAGGGATGCTGGTGCAGCTAGCTGAGAGAAGAGGACCCATGAACTCTGTGTCACATGAGAGAAGTTTCGAGATACCCACACAGAGTATCAGGGAACCAGCCCTAATGGTCTGAAACTTACACTGGTCAGGGCTCTGTGTGACAAGTGCCGGAGGCCAAGGACAAACACATAGGAAGCCAAAGTTAACGTGGATGAGCCCTCCTCTATCTTCCTCCGTTCCCTCCAGGTCTTCCCACCTTTCTCCACCCCACTCTGGGCCCCAGAACGCTAACCACGGCAGACAGCACCGGGCCCTCGGGCTTCCAGCTGCACTCCAGTGGTGGTGAGCCCCAGCAGCGGGAGACCAGAAGTAGGGTGAGGCCACCCTAGGCTGGTGGCATCCCTCCACCAAAGGTCATTACTCTGCTCGGGGAGTCTGTCCTACCCCTTGATTGTCTCAGGGCCTGGAGCCCAGCAGCCTCTCCCACCTCTCCCATCTCTTCAGGCCCGAGCTGGCAACCCCTCCAGTGTCATCGGCCCCGGGTTCCTCAACACCTCGCCCACACCCAGGTCATCTACAATTAACTCCTCTGCAAACAGACCTTCCTCAATCATCCCATTTTGAGTGAGCAGTTTCCTGTCTGGATCCTAGTACAAAGGAGGGGGGTGGAGGAAGAGAAGCCCACCAATGAGAGAAGGGATGGTCAGGGAAGGAGGAAAGAACCAGGTACCCCATCCCAGGCGTCACCAGGGCCGTGGCAGACAGAATTACGAAGGGCCACCTGGAAAATGTCTACCGGGACAATCAGGTGGCCCCGGGTGACCCGTGAGAACAGGCTCCATGGCCCAGGTGGCGGCAGACTGATGAACAAATTCGCTACTTCTCTCAGAATCTGGATGAAAGGTCAAAGCCTGAACATAATCCTACAAAGGGGGCATGGGGCAAGTGGAGAACCAGGTTTGGAGGGAAGGGGAGAGCAGTGATTTGGGGTGACCTCTGCCAACCTCTGGACACCCAGAGGACGGTGGTCAGCAGCACCACCAGCCTCACCAGTCGCCCTCTCAACACCTGGAAGGAACCTGATCTCCTAGAGGAACCCCAACATCCTGGAAGCTCTGGTGCTCCCCCGAAAATGACCTGTAATCTTCAACTCCCCACCCCACCCAGCAGGTGCCCTGGCTTTCCCACAGACTGAGGGCAGGTACCCAGAAGCTGGATTTCTCCTTTTTGTTGATTCTTTTGCAAATGACAGACGAGTATGTAGCTACACACAAGGATCCACTGCAGGGGCTTTACCTCTGCTCTTCACTCCTGGTACCACAGGAGCCGGGAAGTGCCATCCTACAAAAAACGTCTCCCTGATACTCAGCCCTGATCCAGATCCAGATCCACAGCTGGTACTATTCATTCCGTGTCTACTCCCCACCCCCTCCGGCCCCCTCCTCCCCGTCTCTCCCATAGTCACGGCCTTCCATTATCCAGTGCCTCACAAAGTCATAATTCACAGAACCCACATCTGTCCCCACCACCTAGAAAACCACCTGCCCATGGTATGAGGACACACGATGCAGAAGTCAGCATATGTCCACCCCCAACTTTGAGACCTAATTCAAAATTCAAATCCAGAAAGTCTCCCCCAACTGAATGTGACCCCCTCCAACCGCTCTTCCGCCAGGCATCCTGTCAGTGACACAATAATAATGTCACCTGTTGAATGATACTGCTTTATTCCTTCCTGGCACCTCCTCACAAGTGAATCAAAGCCAACATCCACTGGGTAGATTTTCCCAGAGGTTCAGCTACTCATCAGACCTCATGCTCCCGGGGAAACACTCCCCTACTCACAGCCTGAATTCAAATTTCCATCCATCGTTTCCTGTCTTTGTTTCTCACTTCATTCCCCTAAACCTGGAATTGGCTGTTTCTGGAGAGAGTGAGAAGACAGAAGTGCCCACCTGAGTGGGAGGGTGACCCCTCCTGGTCCTCAGTCTGGAGGTAACATGCAGACCACTCTGGGGTCACCACAGTTCACAACAGGGTCTTCAGCTTTGCAAACCCAGATGTTTTGGGAGTACCCCTCCCACAAAGTGCTGATGCCTACACCAGATGCCCACCAATTCATTAACAAGAACTAAAACTGAAAGGACCACACTGCCCAGATGAAAATCTACATGGGAAGCCACATAAACCCTGAGAACATGATGTGTCATAGGCTTGCAATCAGAGTAGAAAGACGGTTTTTTGTTTTGTTTTGTTTTTTAATGAAATGATTGTTAAATTTTAAGAATTCTTAGCCCAGAATGAGGCTGGATGCCCAAGAATCCACTGAGAAATGTACTGAAACTGCTAAATCCCAGGTCCCACCTCAGGCCTCCCAGAATCCCTGGGTGTGGGGCCCAGGGCACTGTGTCCTGAACAAGTGCCCCGGGTGGTCATAATGCCCCGGCAGGTTGGGAAGCCACCGGCACCACCGCCCCACATTCAGTCCAGGGCGCTCAGCTCGACCCAAGGGCTGGCCTGCCGGGACCACACACGTGTGAGGCAGCAGGACTGTAGATACAGGCTCCTGCCCTCCCTCTGGAGGGCACACCCTCCCCTGAACTCAGAGTACATATAATACAACAGACCAGGTCATCTTCTCGGAGTTAAAAACCACACTTCCCTTACGCTTCTCAGACTGTAGTTGCCGTGACTGGACCTGAGCTTGCCCTCAAGTATCTAAATCAGAGTTTACAGCAGTCTCTTGAGACAGCAATCTCACCCAATCCTTTGAGCTTATCTGCCAAAAACCCTGATGTGATCTGTAGCAAAGAACTATTAATCCATTAGCTGACAGTCTGGTTAGATCTAACAATACTGTTGAATGTGAAGGCTGGGACTGGAGGGACAAAAGGCCCAAGAATCACTTCCTTCCTCAACAGAGTCTCGCTGGGGCCTCACGCCAGAGGTTTTTCCAGCCCAGAATGATACACGGTAGTAAAACAATGGAGGGCCTGCATGGGAGGCAGCTCTCCCTCCCGTAAAGAAGAACGAGAACCAGGTGAAGGAGCCTGGAAGGGAAAGCTGCAGGCCATGGGGCCACGAGGCCACAGTTAGGCAGGCCAGATGGTGGAGGGAAAGGCAACCGCAGGCCCCATGCCCACAGACGTTATAGTTGCTGTTTTTGCACTACTCCACACGCCATGCCCCAGTGCTCAGGGCAGAGGATGAGGGAAGCAAGGCCTCAGAGGCCAGGAAGCACCGGGGTAAAGAGAAAGGGAACAGAAGGAACCTTCTGGCTTCCATGGGGCACATGGACAAGGAAGAAGAGAAGAAAGAGAGAGCACACTGGCATTCTGACGTGGGGTATGGAGGAGCGCTTACTGCGTACTGGGCACTACCTTGTGAAGCCCTCACAACCTCCCTGTGAGACAAGCATGCCCCCAGAGGGTCACTGTGAGGAGGAGGAGCCCGTCGGCATGCTTTCCCGACTCTCTCCAGTCCCAGAGCAGCTGGGAATCCGGGGACACAGGTGGTGGAAGAATGAGGGAGTGACCTGAGGACATCAGTGGAGACACACTTGAGATGGGTGAGCAGGATGGATGCAGATGGAGTTGGGGCAGGGAGGGAAGTGTGGGGCACTACGAGACTAGACGGGTTACAGAGAGGGCAGAGAATGTGGCGAGCACACGAAAGCTTGGGCAGGGATCCCAGAACGCCGCATGAGGTTTAATGTCGAAATGCCAAAGCTTATAATACATGCAAAACATCCTTTGCAACTACTCAGATTTATGATGAAACACTTTGGAAGTTGACTGACAAGTAGATACGAGGATACAAAGCTTCTCCAATTATTTTGTGGTGCATCTGACCAAAGAAGTGGGCAGTGGCCTTGCACGCTCTGCAGATGAGACCTCCTCTAAGTGTTCCAGGACCCAGAACGACCAAATCCCTCGCAAGCAACTGTTCACAACAGCAGGGACTGCCTCGGGAATGGATATGCCCTCATGTGGGTCAATGATATTCTAAGCAGGTTTGCTGGGAGCCTCTGGGAATAAAGCCAACCATCCTGAGAGCAGCACAAGAAAAGACTTGGAGATGTCGTTGCCTGGAACTGCTGCTGCTGCCGTTCCTCCCCCAGCTTGGATGAGGCAGAGAGAGCTAAAAACCGAGGCACAGTGGAGCCACCACGTTTGTCCTGACAGCACTTCACCACCTGACTTCCAATCATGAGAGCTTGCACACATGCACAAAGCCAGGCTGAGTTGCATCATGTTACTTGCAGACAAAAGCATCTTAAAGCTGACAGACTTCCCAGTAATGTCTGAAAGGCCAGGTCCCACCAAATATTCAGTATCTGGTACCAGGATCCCCTCCTACCCATCATCTGCACTCACACGTGCAGGAAGCAGGCACTCTCATGCTCCTCTTTTATTTTATTTTTTATTTATTCATGAGAGACATGGACAGAGAGGCAGAGACATAGAGGGAGAAGCAGGCTCCCTGTGGGGAGCCCGATGCAGGATTCGATTCCAGGACCCCAGGGTCAAGCCCTGAGCCAAAGGTAGACGCTCAACCAATGAGCCACCCAGGCGTCCCTCTCATGCTCCTTTCAACTGTACTGCCCTGACTTGTGCCATGTGGCTTCCCGATCACAGGTTCCCAAGGCCTACAGAATACAAACTCGTGCAGGTGGCTCAGGATGCCCCCCTGGTCAGGCCCTTTCCCGGGTTCCGCGTGGTCCCCAGGGAGGGTACTGCAGCACCCTCCCCTTTGGGAACAGTTTATACCCACTTGCTGGGATACTCCCGCCCACTGCTAGCACTTCAGGCACACAGTCCTCTCCTGTGTGTGCCCCTGAGGTCCCTCACCTAGGAGCAGCTGCTGCAGTGTATGGTCCGTGTCTGGCCAGCCTGTTCCCACCCAGCCTTCTTCGGCCCCTGGAGCAAGGATGGAGCTCCCTTCACCTTGCTGCTGGGGGGGGGGGGGGCTGCCACAGTCCGGGCACTCTTACACACCGCCTACGTGAATCCATCTACATAACAAGCCTAGGGAGCCAGTGAGGAATCACTGCACATGCATCCGTGTTCGGGTCCGAGGAGCCCAGCACGGTGCCCGGACACCGCAGATGCCCCTCACCGTCTGCAGACCGGAGCTCCCTCCTCCCGATCCCGAGGACCTGTCGTTTCCAGTGTCCCCCCCCCCCCCCCCGTCCACCGCGGTCCCGCCGCCACGACGGCTCCATTCCCTCCGCGCTCAGAGCAGGCTACCGTCCGTGACACACCCCCGGCCCCTCCCCAGGAGCCCGGGGTGCCGAGCTGGGGCGCCAGTGCCCGCCCTGGCGTCCCCGCCGCCCACTCGGGGCTGGGGGTCCCGGGGGACCCTGCGGGGCCCGCCTCCCTGAGCAGGTGGGGAAATGGAGGCGGGGGTGGGGGGGCAGCCAGTCCAAGGTCACAGCAGGGCTCGGCGCGACCGCCCGGCCCGCGGGCCGCAGCAGCCCCGGAGCCCCGCCCCGCCCCGCCGCGCCGCCCCGGAGGAGGTCTCACCGCCGCCACTCGCTCCCCGCGTTCCCAGCGTCGCGCTCCCCGCCGCCGAGCTCTCAGTCCCACAGGCGGCGGCGGCCCTGCTTCCACTTCCGGTGCGCTCGGCCAATCAGCGCGCGGCGGCCTCCGCGGAGGAACAGGTGGGCGGCCCGCCTGCCTGCGCCCCCCGGCCCGCCCCGCCTGCGCCCCCGGGCCCGCCCCGCCACCGCCCCTGGTGCCCGCCTCGCCGACCTCCCGCGGCGTCGGCTCCCGGGACGTCCGCCCCCCCGCGCCCTGTGGCGCCCGCGTAACCCCCGGATCATCGACTAGCCGGGTCCTCCAGGCGGCCTAGAACGGCCCCAGGGACGCACTTCCGCCGCTGGGCCGGCCGCTCTGCCCGCCGCTGTCGCTGCCCCTCGTCCACCTGCGCCCGAGCGGCGCTGGGCGCTCTGAGCTCGGCCCTCAGCCCGTCGCCCCCTTCCCGGAGCGCCGAACCCCGGGAGCCCAGGAGCGGGACGAGGAGAGGGAGACCGCTCGGAGGTCCGTGGGGCTTGCTGGAGGGGACGCCGCAGGGGACAGTGCTGGGCAGCGGGGACACCGCCTCCTCCGCGGGCCTTCTGATGTGTGACCAGCGCAGCTGGCTCCCCCCCCCCACCGTGCTCGGGCCCTCTGCCTGGTGGCCCCTGTGCCGTCCTTTGCACCACGGGCTTCTTGGTCTCAGGTCTCCGTTCTCAGGTCACGTCCCAGAGGGGCCCCGTCCCTTCCAGCGCAGCCCCGGCCGGCAGCACTCCTCCCAAATCCCGGTTCTCGGGCAAGGGCTGTGATTGGCTCCGGTCGGCCGGTTCTCAGCGTCAGTGTATTTGTGGGGCAGGAGAGTGAGCCCGGTTATCCGGTCAGGGCCACCTGTCTGCCCCAGCTAGGGCCCGGCACTCTAAGACAAAGGTACTGTGTTTATATCCAGTACACACACCGTCAGAAAGGAGAACTTTCTCTTGAGTTGGTCATTGGAATTAGGCCCAACCTTCCAGTCAAGCACCTCTGCCACCCACACCAATATCCTTAACTCCTTTGCCCTCCCATCTGCAACTACCCAAGATGTGTGTGAACCCTGGATTGGCTGAAATGTCCACTTCCCTTGCCTAGGCTACTAACAACTAGTGGGAAAAATACTCTTCAAAAAGAGCCCTAAGGTCCATGTATCATTTATCCTTCCCGGAGGCCTTTCCCTGCTTCCTAGAAGTCGTGGTCTGTTTCCTAGTCAGCTGGTCTGCCGGTTCCACGACCGCTCCTGCAGCATTCTTTGGTTTGCTCCAGCCTGTATCCACCCCCATCACAGGCATCGCTGGCAACATCCATCCCAAGGGAAGATGCCCAGACTACGAGGGTACCCGGCCTCAGAACCAAAGGTGGGAGATATTTACTTTCACTGACTTCTATCTAGGCCACCTGCATTAACAAGCATCTGCATCAAGAACCCAGATAAGGGATTCTCAACCTTGGCTGCACATTGGAATCATTGGGGTGGGGTGGGAATTCTTTAAAACTATTGACGCCTCGTGCCACACGCACAGATTCTGTTGAAACTGATTTGAGACAGGGACTGGGCATTTTTTTAAAGATTTTATGTATTTGAGAGAGAGCATGAGCAGAGGGCAGAGGCAGAGGGAGAAGCAGACACCCTGCTGAGCAGGGAACCCAATGTGGGACTCGATCCCAGGACCCTGAGATCATGACCTGAGCCGAAGGCAGACGTTTCACTGACTGAGCCACCCAGGTGTTTCAGTTTGGGCGTTGTGTGTGTGCACAGGCATGTGTACACTCACTTTGTGGTTTTTTTTAAGCTTTCCAAGTGATTCAAGCAGGCAGCCAACAAAGTTGAAAAACAGCAACCTAGGTCAATGACTCAAAATGTGGTCTGAATTGGCAGGATCAGCATCTCCTGGGAACTAGTTATAAATGCACATTCTCAGGCCCCATTGACACATCTTCTGCATGAGAAATTCTGGGATTAGGGAGGCACCTGGGTGGCTCAGTCACCTTCAGCTCAGGCCCAGCCCCTTGTTCAGGAGAAACCAGCTGCAAAACATTCAGGTCTCACCTACACACACCAAAGCCACAGCTAAAGCAGAGTCAGGACTCGATTACATCCTCACTGTTCCCCTCCCACATGCAGCCTTGAAGAAGCAACTGAAGGCATCAGAAGGGCAACCGTCTGACCCAACCGTCACCCCAGGAGCCCAGAGCAGCTGATTCTGAGCCTGACTTAGCAATGCCACTTTTTCAGCATGCTGGGATAGCAAGTCCTGCTCAGGCAAGTTCTCCATGCCTAAGAGGTGCTCCGGGGTCCTGTGGGGTCCACATCTCTCTCCAGGGAAACCGGGACCCCCTTCACGTGGAGTAAAGTGCAGCAGCGTCAGGGAAATTGGGCCTCCATGCTGGGTACCAGGGGCGGGGCAGAGGAGCTGGCACCCAGGGCCCCTCGCACACACATGGTCCCTTTGTTTCCGAGGCTTCATTTAGCTGCTAACACCCACAGATTCTGTCTCTAGACCCATTCTGGGCTTGGGGCCCTCCCCTCCCCTGCAGCATGAGTTGCTCCCATGATGATCCTTGACCTCGCACAACGTTCATGCCACGTAGGGAATGACAATAGCTAAGGCTTATCCAGGTGGGGGAAAACACAAGCTTTGAGGCAAGGTTTAAGAGAGCAAAAGCAACACGTCCGAGCCGTACAAATAGCTAACATACTTACGAAGCCCCCTTACCTACATGGGCCATGGTAAGAGCATCTGCAAGCTTCCTTAGGCTGCCTACAGTGAGTATAGACAAGGCTTCCACAGATGAGGGAGCCCAAAGAACTCACCGACTTGTCCAAATGTAATCGGGTCAGACGCAGGGAGGCGAGGATTAGCACCCAAGTCCCCAGACTCCTCCTCAGGCTCTTCTCACTGCAACCTGACTGTCTCCCCAAAGGCCCACAGGACACACAATCTGCCTCCACCCCTCAATGGGGTGGAGCAAGTTCTGCCACTCTGTTGACCATGAGTCAGCTCCAGAGAGGATATTTCAAATCCAACATTCACAAAATCCTCGCTTACCTAACATGCGTAAAGTATCTCCCATCTACCAAAGTAAAACCCTACACAGGGATGCCCAAGGGGCTCAGTGGGTGAGCATCTGCCTTCATCTCAGGGCGTAACCCCGGGGTCCTGGGATCGAGTCCCACATCAGATTCACCACAGGACCACAGGGAGCCTGCTTCTCCCTCTGCCTGTGTCTCTGCCTCTCTGTCTCTCATGAATAAATAAATAAAATCTATAACTAAAAGAAATTAAGATTTCTACGTGTATTTTTCAAGGCTAACATTGGTACCATTACCTAATGAATATAATGGTGTTATTATAGAAAGATTACAAAAACTGTATAAAAATATTTAAAACTGTAGCAATACATTTTACCATCTTGGTAATCCTTTGCTTTAAGTAAGCTTTTATTTTTTTATTTTATTTTATTTATTGTAACTCAGCTCTACACCCAACGTGGGGCTTGAATTCGTGACCCCGAGATCAAGAACCACATGCTCCTCCAACTGAGCCAGCCACATGCTCCTAAGTAAGCTTTTAATTTTAGAACAGTTTTGAATTTATAGAAAAGTTTCAAAGGCAGTACAGAGTTCCATGTCCCCACACCCAATTTCCCCCATCAGCATCTGACGTGAGTCTGAGACATGAGTCTGAGACGTTTGTTACAATTCGTGAACTAATCACACATTGTTATTAACTAAAGTCCATAACTCATCCAGATCTCCTTAGCCCTCACCGATGTCCTCTTCTTACCCCAGGATCCCATCCAGACACCACATTACGTTTGGTAATCATGTCTCTTCGGCTCCTCTCGTCTGTGACATAACCGTACATTTAAAAATAACAGCAGAATGCACACCATCACTGCAGGAGGTGCAGAAGCAAATCAAAACAGCTGCCAAGTCCACATAATACTCACACAAGACGCCAGCATCTGTTTACCAGCTCACCATGTGAATAATGCACAATTTCCTTCTCTCAGACTGCAATCGCCAGCTGATTCAGGTGCAGCAGGACACTGCAAAATCTAAAAGTCACCTCAACCCAAAGGAGAAAGCCTGTCAATTCAAATTCAGTATCCGCGTAACACGGCCAGAGAGGATGCTGAAACTCACACTTGAGAGAATTGATTATGAATATTCCAGAAAACAGGTGCCAAGATACAGATACACAGACATCCTCAAACCTCCGTGGAGGAGGTGCTCCAATAATTCCATTTTTAAATTAGTTACTGAAACCTAAAGGACATTTATTGATCCTTGGAACATTGTTATGAATACTGGACAAGTTCTAATAACCCACCAAAATGTATTCAACCAATAATACCAGTGAGACAGGATACCGTTGCGGTGAGCAATATAAAACAAATGCTACATCAAGAATAATCATAGGGGGGATCCCTGGATGACTCAGCAGTTTAGCACCTGCCCAGGGTGTGATCCTGTAGACCCGGAATCGAGCCCCGCATCAGGCTCCCTGCATGCAGCCTGCTTCTCCCTCTGCCTCTCTCTCTCAATCAATCAATCAATCAATCAATCAATAAAATCTTTTTTTAAAAAATGGGCAGAAGATGTTAAGAGACATTTCTCCAAAGACTTCCAGATGGCCAACAGACACACAAAAAGATGCTCAACATCACTCATCATCAGGGAAATGCAAATCAAAACCACAATAAGATGTCCCCTCACACCTGTCAGAACAGCAAAAAATCGAAAACACAAATACCAGGTGTTGGCAAGGCAGTGGAGAAAGGGGAACCATCCTGCCCTGTTGGTGGGAACACAAACTGGTGTGGCCACTCTGGAAAACAGTAGGAGCTTCCCCCCAAAAAAAATTTAAATAGAATTACCGTATGAGGGGGATCCCTGGGTGGCTCAGCAGTTTGGCGCCTGCCTTTGGCCCAGGGTGCGGTCCTGGAGTTCCGGGATCGAGTCCCACGTCCGGCTCCCGGCATGGAGCCTGCTTCTCCCTCCTCCTGTGTCTCTGCCTCTCTCTCTCTCTATCATAAATAAATAAATAAATCTTTAAAAAAAAAAAGAATTACCGTATGATCTGGTAATTTCGCTACTGGGTATTTATCCAAAGAAGGCAAAAACATTAATTTGAAAAGATATGTGCACCTCCCCTATGGTTATACCAGCATTATCTACAACAGCCAACGTATGAGAGCAGCAGAAGTGTCGATGTCATGTGATACACACACACACACACACACACACACACACACACACACACACACAGGAATATTACTCGGCCATGAAAAATAATGAAATCTTGCCATTTGCAACAACATGCATGGAGCTCAAGAGAATTATGCTAAGAGAAATCAGCCATTTGGAGAAAGACAAATACCATGTCATTTCACTTGTGTGGAATTTAAGAAACAAAATAAATGAACAAAGAAAAAAAGAGATACACACAAAAAAAACTCAGACTCTTAAATACAGAGAACACCCTGGTGCTTTCCAGAAAGAAGGTGGGTGGAAGATGAAGAATCCCTGTATCTTGATTAGCCCTGAGGAATGCACAAATTGTTGAATCACTGTACTGTGCACCCAAAACTAACACAGCAATGTATGTTAGTTGTACTGGAATTTACTTTTTTAAAAGATTTTATTTATTTATTCATGAGAGACACAGAGAGGGGCAAAGACACAGGTAAAAGGAGAAGCAGGCTCCCTGCAGGGAGCCCAATGCGGGACTCAATCCCAGGACCCCGGGGTCACACCCTGGGCCGAAGGGAGGCGCTCAACCACTGAGCCACTCAGGCGTCCCTGTACTGTAATTTATAAATCAATGAAAAAATGAAGGGAAAACAAATGAGAAATATTTTATTTGGAGTGCTGACATTGTATACGTAGAAGGAAATAAAGGAGAATGAGGGGCAGGTGGAGTCACCAAGGGAACGGCTGGAAGGGTACGAAGAATCCTGAGGCTTCCGCCGCAGCATCCAAGGCTGCCTTTCCACTGCGGGTTTTGTCCCCAGCTCCCCCACCAGAAGTAGTAGCACACAATGTGCCCTGATTGTCACCCTAGGCACCCCTGAGACTTACCCACAGAGCTAAGAACAATTAGACGTCTATGTCCAGGAGTCAGCTAGGGCTTCCTCCGCACAGCCCAGCTGCTTCGACATTAGAAAGGTGTCTTGTCAGGATGCCTGGGTGGCTCAGCGGTTAGGCATCTGCCTTTGGCTCAGGGTGTGACCCCAAGGTCCCAGGATGGAGTCCCGCATTGGGCTCCCTGCAGGGAGCCTACTTCTCCCTCTGCCTGTGTCTCTGCCTCTCTGTCTCTGTGTCTCTCAGGAATAAATAAATAAAATCAAGAAAGAAAGAAAGAAAGAAGAAAGAAAGAAAGAAAGAAAGAAAGAAAGAAAGAAAGAAAGAAAGAAAGAAAGAAAGAAAGAAAGAGAAAGAAAGAAAGAAAGAAAGAAAGAAAGAAAGAAAGAAAAGAAAGAAGGAAGGAAGGAAGGAAGGAAGGAAGGAAGAGAGAAAGAGAAAGAGAGAGAAAGGAAAAGAAAAGAAAAGAAAAAAAGAAAAGAAAAGAAAAGAAAAAAAGAAAAGAAAAAAAGAAAAGAAAAGAAAAGAAAAGAAAAGAAAAGAAAAGAAAAGAAAAGAAAAGAAAAGAGCCTTGTCATGGTTCTGGAGGCTGGGAGTCCTCCCTGGGGCTGGATGAAGTATGGGCTGGAGGACTTGCTGCCTCAGGGTCTCCCCTCACCTTGCAGGTGGCTGCCTCCCGCGGCCCTTTCTCTATGCAGATTCATCTTTGGTGTCTCTCCTTCTAAGGACACTAGTCCTATGGGATTAGGGCCCCACTCTTCCAACCCCACTAACTAATTACCCTGCTTAAAGACCCCATCTCCCAGTGCAGTCCTACTGGAGGTTAGGACCCCAGCACATGAATTTGGGTGAGACATGATTGGGTCCCTAACACCACATCTCCCCCACCCAGATGGATTAAATCAAAATTAGGGGAGGGGGTGAGGAGCTTTCCGGGGTTGAGGATGGCCCCGCGCTCCCGCTGGGTTCCTGCCACGTACTAGCTCTGCATACCTGGCAAGTCCACCTGAGCTTTGAGCCGCGCTGTCCTCTCTTGTTAAACGGAATCCTGTCAGAACACAGGACTCTTGTGAGACTCTACAGAGATGGTGCAGGAACAGCACTTCGCACATGCCCGGGCCAGAATGTAGGCGGTGACGGTTACCAGCAGGGAGAGGACCAATGTCCTCAAGGTACGAAGCGGGAGGTGGTAAAGCAGGGCAGGAGTGCGTAGGAAAGGTGTGAAAGGTGGTCTGAAGTGGGATGAAGTAGATGGAGATCTTGAGAGGCTGGGCGGGGATGGGGGGGAATCTCCGCCCACAAGGATTAAAACGCAGTGTCCTCGATGGGCGTCAGGGGGCGCCACGAGCTTGTGGACCAAGGTCCCACTGTGGCCGGGAAGGTAGGTGAGAAGGAAGGGAAAGGTTGATTCTTGCAGCGCTTTAAAGAGATGTTATTTATTCATGAGAGATCCAGAGAGAGAGAGAGGCAGAGACACAGGCAGAGGGAGAAGCAGGCTCCCTGCGGGGACCCCGATGTGGGATTCGACTCCAGGACCCAGGGATCACGCCCTGAGCCCAAGGCAGACGCTCAACCACTGAGCCACCCAGGCGTCCTTAAACTCAATTCTTTAAAAACAGAACTGGAGTTCTTTTTACATGGATTTGGCCATGAGTTACAAAGACCCAAAATAACGGTGGGGTGGCTTACACGTAATTCAAGTTAATTTTTCTCTCATGTGAAAGGCCTGAGGCAGACAATTCAGGATTTCAGTGGAGCCACCATTGTTTTTCAGGAAGAGGAGGAAGGCAAGTCCAGCGGAGGAGGACCAGGGGCAGGACCTGCCAGCTCCCGCCGTCCAAGGCCATCATTTTCTGAGGCAGAGAGAGTGATAAGCAGAGGTGAGGTGTAAGGTAGTAATCATGCAGTGAGTCATTGTGGAGTCACCACCACTGGGCACCTTCCTGGGAAACAGTTCACTTTCATCCTCACAGAGAGCTCCTCCTGGAATACAGAACACCTCTGTATGTAGGACTAGTCTCTCCCTCCAGGAAAAGGGATACTTTGTGGGTTAAAGTACCAGGAGCCCACAACATGGGAAAGGCACAGATGGCTTCCTCCACACCAGCCAACAATGCATGGCAAGGCCCTTGGCCTCGCCTCTGGTCTGCCAACCATAATGCACGTAAGCAATGTACAGATTGAGGATGTGCCCACAAGGATCAGTGAGCAGCTTTGCATCACAAAATAAACACGCTGCTACATTCCAGTCACTCGAGTTTCTAACATCTCTGCAACAAAGATGCTCAGCTGCAAGTCCAGCTGGAGATACGGTCACGTCCAGGACATTTACGGAATTCTTCCCCATGGAAGCTTCTTTGGTGCTATAAAATCCGACCAAGGCCAGAGAGCATCCCTGACCTGCACTGCTTTCAAGCAGGTCCTCTCCTGTAAGAATGATCCTCTGGGGCCAAATAAGGTGTGAAGTGTAAATGAAGGCCTCTCAGTGCCTGTGACTTCCGCAGGGCTTCTCTGCAGAACAGGTTCTTTGATATTGAATAAGACTCAGGCTTTGATTAAAGGTGTCCACACACCACCTAAATGACAGGGTTTCTCTCATGAGTAGACTCGGTGATGTGGATTGAGATGTGGGCTCTGAGGAAGGACTTCCCCCGAGTCATTACACCCCAGAGGCATCTCTTTGAGCAGGTGCCTCAAGATTTTATTATTTTTACATAATCTCTACACCCAACGTGGGGCTTAAGCTCACAACCCCAAGATCGAGAGTCTCACGCTCCCCTAACTGGGCCAGCCAGGCGCCGCAATTGTATTCATAAGTATTTTCCCCACTATGAGTTCATCAATATATTTTTAAAGATTTTTATTTATTTATTCATGAGAAATGCAGAGAGAGAGAGGCAGAGACACAGAGGGTAAAGCAGGCTCCCTGTGGGGAGCCCAATGCAGGACTCGATCCTGGGTCCCCAGGGTCACACCCTGAGCCAAAGGCAGATGCTCAACCACTGAACCACCCAGGCATCCCAATAAATAAAATCTTTAAAAAAAATTTTTTTATAAAAATATGTTGGGGCTGGTGGAGGGGAAATGGTCAATTGCTCATTGTTGGAGGAAGACAAATTGTTACAAATCCTGAGGAGGACAAATAGTTCCAAGTGAAAAACACATTTACCTTTTGACTGTATAATTTCACTTCTAAGAATGTATCCTACAGATACACTTTACTGTGTGTAAAATTATAAGCACACAAGGTTTTTTAGTGCAACATTGTTCATAATAGCAAATGGTTTGGGGCAGTCTAAATGTATCCATAGGAAGTGGTTAGGTAAATTATGATACATCTGAAAAATGAGATAGTTACCTTCATGACTAAGAATGAGGAAGCTCTTTGTATACAAATATGAAACGAGATTAAAAATAAAATCAGGGGCACCTGGGTGGCTCAGTGTTTGAGCATCTGCCTTGGGCTCAGGGCGTGATCCCGGGGTCCTGGGATTGAGTCCCACATTGGGCTCCCCACAGGGAGCCTGCTTCTCCCTCTGCCTGTGTCTCTGCCTCTCTCTGTGTGTTTCTCAAGAATAAATAATTAAATAAAAATAAATAAAAAATGACCATTACATTCCCTTTCAGGGGCACCTGGCTGGCTCAGTTGTGGGCGTGCAACTCTTGATCTCAGCATCATGGGTTTGAGCCCACAGTGAGTGAGTGTAGAGATCATTTGAAAATAATATCTTTTAAAAAAAAGAAATTCAGGGCACCTAAGTGGCACAGTTGGTTAAGCATCCGA